CTAATCATGGAGGAAAAATGAACTGGTTTCAAGAGAAGGCAATCTAGAGAGGAGCTTGGCCAAGCAGAGTCGGCTTCAGATCCCAAGTTACAAATTCAGAGCTGTTTCCCAAAGGTCAGGAGGCTTGTAGGGATTTGAATTGGCTAGGTGGGGTTTGAAATGATGCCCTTGGGTGTGTGGTGGTGCCCGCAGAGCAGACTGATCTCTATGAGTTTGAGGCCAGCCTGTCTACAGAGTAAGTTCCTCAGGGCAGCCAAGTCTACATAATGAGACCCTATCTTCACCTCCCCCCCAAAAAAAATAAAGAAAGGAAAAAAAAAAGATGGGAAGACTATTCTCATTCCAGCACCCAGCTCTAGCTTTAGAAGACTGTTCAGAGATAAGGCGTAATTTCCATTTCAAACTAATTTATAATTCAGAGGAACTATGTAAGACGGTCCCTCCAGAACTTAGAAGTCCATTAAACTTGCTCTATTAAATTGATTGGGAAGGAGCAATGTGGGGTCTGGAACTCAGGGTTGAATAAGGTGCTTAGTGCTTAAGTTAGATTTCCTCTTTTAATTCATAAGGAAAAGGAGCAGAGCACTCTTCTGTTTGTGCTCTTGAGAATTAAATTGCTTGGGTTGTTCTTAGAGTTCTCTAGAAGTGTTTGCACCAGGACATAATTCTAGGGAACCATGTTATAATTAGTAGCTGGGTTCAAGCTTTGGGGCATTTGATGTTTGTGAGGTTTTGCAGTACCTATAGTCAGAATGATCAAATGTACTGGAACAGGAATTTCCTGCTCAGTAATTTGTTCCCTAGATGCTCCCTATGTCCAAGGGGCTTCTCTTACACTTTCAAGACTACTGTCTGGAGCTGCATCCATACCCAACCCCAGGGGTTCTGTTTTTATCTTCTGTATTAATAGCACATGGGAAGTTTGGTGCTTTGACAACCTGTGTGGTCATATGTGATGACCTGGTAATAAGTTAAAGAGGAAAATAAATTGAAGAGATTTTTATAATTTTCATAGATACCAAGTAATTTCATTTGTAGTCAGAATCTACTTGCCTTATAAATCCATTCTAGTTCAAAGCTTTAGAAATTTAGATCTACTTTGCGGTAGTCAGAGATCCCCTTAAAGTTCATTTGAAAGCTTTAGGGTAGGTAGAGTTTGAAATAGCAGTTTAAAAAGACCTAAGATTAAAAAAAATAATAATAATAATAATAACAAACATGCCTTTAATCCCAGCACTTGTGAGGCAGAGGCAGGTGGATCTCTGTGAGTTCAAGGCCAGCCTGGTCTACATAGTGAATTCCAGGACAGCCAGGATTTTGTAGAGACCTGTCTGAGAAAACAAGTTAACAAAACAAACAAGCGTGTGTGTTACCTGTGGAGGCCAGAAGAGGGCATCAGATCCCCTGAAATAGGAGTTACAGACAGTTGTGAGCCACCGAGTGGGTGCTGGGAACTGAACCTGTGTCCTCTGTAAGAACAGCAAGTGTTCTAATCACTGAGTCATCTCTCCAGCCTCTAAATGTTTTGTATGACAAAAAAATCTTTACTTGATGCAGTCCATGTAGCACTGTTTGGTAACCAGGTGGTTTGACATACTTGTACAAAACATACTGAACTGATTATGACAGTAAGGTAGTAACAGGACTGATTGGTATGCAGAATACTTGTTTTAACAGTTTTCTTGGTCTTACCTAATTACTCAATTTGGGATGTACTGTGAGTTATTTATTTATTTATTTATTGAAACAGGATTTCTCTGTATAGCTTTGCGCCTTTTCCTGGAACTCGTTTTGTAGATCAGGCTGGCCTCGAACTCACAGAGATCTGCCTGCTTCTGCCTCCCGAGTGCTGGGATTAAAAGCGTGCGCCACCACCGCCCAGCTTGTACTGTGAGTTTAATTGGTTCTAATGTGCATACCCTTGTGAAGCTCTTAACAGTATGCATTATTTAGAAGAAAACATGCTAGCTGGATGTGTTGATACACATTTGTAATGTCAGTACTCAGGAGGCAGAGTTTGAGTCTAGCCTGGACTACATGGTCAGTCCTTGTTTCAAAAAGCAAAAGAAATGATAATCTTAGGAAGTCTGGTACAGAATTTTCATATTTTGTATTTAAAAAAAAAAGAGTTGTTTAGAAAATAAAAAGAGTTCTTTTAGAAAATTTGGGAGATGGTTCAGTGGTTTAAAGTTTTTGCCATGCAAGCATGAGGACTGGAGTTTGGATCCTCAGAACCCATATAAATGCCAGGTGGGAGTGGCAGTTTGCCTGTAATTCTAGCCTCCGATGAGTCTGGCTAGGGAGACAGCAATACTGGTGATCTCTGGGTTTGATTGAAAGACTCTGCTGCAATAAATTAGGCGGAAAATAAAAATCAAGGATGATTCCTAATACCGTCTTTGGGCCTCCACATGCACAGGCACCCATGCATCCCCCACACATGCACACACGCAAGTTCAAGTACACACACCACAGGAAAATTGAAAAAGAAAAAAAAAAAAACCTCTCTTTTCATTAAGGGAGTTTTTGTTGTGGTCCGCCCCCTCTCCCCCCAACAGGGATTCCCTGTGTAGCTTTGGAGCCTGTCCCGGAACTCACTCTGTAGACAAGGCTGGCCTTGAACTCACAGAGATCTGCCTGCCTCTGCCTCACAGTGCTGGATTAAAGGCGTGTGCCCGGCTCATTAAGGGAGTTTTAATAGATTTACACGGTGTATCATTTTGTGTACCTGTTAAGAGGAAAAGGGGCTAGAGAAATGACTCAGTTGGTAAAGCCCTTACCATGTAAGCATTGGAGCCAGGTTTGATGCCCTAGAATCATCATCCAAAACCTGGGTACAGTGGCACATGTCTATGATTTAAGCACTGGGGAGGCAGAAACAGGAGGATCCCTGAGCCTTGCTGGCCAGCTGATCTAACCAACTCGCCAGCTCTAGCTTTAGTAAGAGACCTTGTCCCCGAAAGTAAGGTAGAGAGTGATTGAAGAATGCACCTGATAGCCACCTATGGCCTTCACACACACACGTGTGAGAAGACAGTAGTCTCCCACTTTTCTTTTTCCTAGCTGTGTGATAGTAGTAATTCACTCAGAATGACTACTATGTATTAAACAGAGTGTCTATTGTAATCCAGGTTGACCTTGAACTCAGATCCTCTTGCCTTAGTCCCCAAGTGTTGGGATTACAAGTGTGTTAGGATTACAAATGTTATGGAACTACACGTGTGTACATGCCTGGTTCCACTATTATCAGTTTAAAATTTAGCCATTTGGTGCTTGTGACAACTTTAAAAACAATATAAGCAGTTTAGTCTTTTAAAATTTTTTTGGCGTATTTGGTATACACTTATATGTGTCCTGTATACACTTGTGTGTTCTATGTGCACATGTATGCATATGAGTATGAAGGCCAGAGGTGAATGAATGCTTGGTGTCTTAGTTGTTTTTCACTTTATTTTTTGAGACTGAACCTGTAGCTTACTGGTTTGGATTGACTGGCTGTCCAGCAAGTCTCAGGGATCTTCCTGTCTCTGCACTTTTAAAACATGTCCATTTAGCAAAACAAGAGTAACAGGTTCCTCCCTAGGGCTTAGGATGTTCTGGGCCACGGGCTTCTGACTAAGTTCATAGAACTAGGCATGGATTCCTTTCTCTGAGCAAATCTAGTCAGAAAGTGGCTAGTTACCTCCACTACTTTCTTGCCACTATTGTACTAGTGAGCACATTAACCTGGCAGCTTGGCATCACACACTGGGTAACTCCATTGATGCTTTCCTCCTGCACAGCGCCTTCCGGCACTGTGAACATCTCAGGTCAGTTCCACCTTGGTTTTCTTAGGTCCTACAACCAGAGAGTGTTGTGACTTTAGTAATAGGGTGTTACCATCTTGTTGGGTAGGTAACCAAGAGCAGTGGCAATGACCTCTCTTATTTTGGGGGCCTCCCTGACCATTGATATTTTCATTTAATAACCCATTTCTTCTGGGGAAACACGGTCTACTCACTCAGGGTTATCTTTGTTCAAAACTCCTCCCCCTTTTCAAATTGCACTTTTAAATTAGTTTACGGAGTAGTGGGTTTCTATAAGCATTTTCATACATCCTTTGTTTGGGTCACCACCTTCCACTCTTGTCTTCATCCCATTAAACTTACTATTTGCTCGTCATTGTCGTCGCCGTCGCCGTCGTCTTTTGGAGACAGTTTCTCCTACCATAACGCTGGTTGTTCTGGAACTCGCTGTGTAGTCCAGGCTGGCCTAGAACTGTCAGAAATTCACCTGCCTCTGCCTCCTGAGTGCTTGGATTAAAGATGTTTGCCACTGTGCCCAATGTTTATTTATTATTATTTTTTTTAATGAGACTCCCCCCCCCCCCCCCTTTCTGTCACGGAACTCAGTTGATATGCTCCATATCACAAGTATCTGGGGCTTGAGGTATAAGCCACTGAGCCTGGTCATTCTTGAACCCTGTTGAACACTTTAAGGCAGCTATGTGTAACCATTTGGATTGTGCAGTTTCAAGTATAAGCAGTAAACCATAATAACCTCAACTTGTGTTTGCTTTCTCTCTTCCCTACTTCCTGCCTCCCTCCCCCTTTCCCTCTTTCCCTTCCTGCTTACTCCCATCTTCTTTCCTTTTCTTTCTTACTTTTTTTTTTTCTATTTCCTATAAAGAATTTGGATTTACCTCTCCAATGACAGTCACTTCACTACCTACTGTCCCAGCACTGTTTTGCTTCCTTTGTGTTATCATAAAATCATTTTGAGGCATTTTTTAGTGGAGTTAGAACCAAAATTGGGCCTCGCTTTGTAGACCAGGCTGACCTCGAACTCACAGAGATCTGCCTGCCCCTGCCTCCCGAGTGCTGGGATTAAAGGTATTCGCCACCACCGCCTGGCTTCTTAGGAGATTATAAGCAGATCATACATTGTCTAGCTCTGTGTTCTGACCTGGTATTCTTCACTTTTCTTGACATTGTTTGACAAAGATGTGTTTCTATTAACAGGTTTTTCAACATACAAAAATCTTTTTAAAAATACGGAGAATGGCAGCAGAAACCCAGACACTAAATTTTGGGCCTGAATGGTGAGTTCTGTCTTGTCTTATTTGGGATTAAATGACATAATCCACTAGTATGATGTATACAGATGCCGGGTAGTATATAAATATACATATTTCTGAGATTTTGTTCATGTGTATAGTTTTTAAAATGTG